GCTCTGCTCTGGTCACTGAGCTTCAAGTTTTTGAGCTTCAGTTTCTTCACCTCTGAAAATAAGTGTGTTCCTAGCACCGTACTCATTAGGTTGTGAGGATCAAATGAGATGGCTTAGCACAGCCTGGTACTCAGTAGGCCCCGAATACATGAAAGCCACTCTGGTGATTTTTCAGGGGAGACAACATCTGAGGATGCTCAGTGCCCTGGACTACCCTTCTAGGGCTCGGAGAGCCCCGCTCACTCCCGAGTCCTTGGGCTAATCTGGGTGAACAGTGCCAGGAGGTCCCAAGTCCTTTAAGAAGCCCTTGCTCCAAAGTAGTAATCCAAGAATACATGACGAGTAAGAGTTTCTCTCACTCTCCTTGCAGCCTCAGGACCCAGTGACCTGGCAGTTACAGGACTGAAGTCCTTCTCCAGCCCGTCCCTCTGCAGCCTGAACACCCTGCTGGCAGGAGCCTCACACCTCCCACATGCCTCAAGCACAGGCAGCCTTGGTCTCCTCTGTAGAAGTGGGCATCTAGGATCCAGCCCTGGAGCCCCCAGCAGGGCTATTGCCCCACACCCCTACCCCTTGGAAAGGAATCTCGTCAGACTGGGTTTTGGCTAAGGTGAGATGGAATAGTTACTGTTTTCTCACTGGGATGTGGATGGGTGGATGGGATTTGAGTGGCAATAAAAATAGGGTGTCAGTATTCCTTTCCGGGATAAAAATCCCCCTCGGGGGAACTCAGATTCTCAAGCAACTAAGTGCATAGCTAATAAACGACTTTGACCTTTACCTCCTGTTGGGAGCTCACAGATAAGTGGTGGATATATTTATAGTCATTTCTGGTCTGTGCACAAAAAAGATTTATTCAGTGACCCATGAAAATCTCTATGGAAGGTTCCAGTGACCCTGCTCCCCACCTCAGCTTCTGTCTGAGGATACCTTTCCCCACCCCATGCCTCAGCTTCCTCAGTCTTAGCCAATGTTATTTTTTGTCAACATTGGATATATATGTGTTCAGTGGTTCACAAGAGAATTTTGGGTGGTATTTGAATTAATATTTTTTATTTTAGCAGTTACTTATTTAATATCAAATGTGAAAATGTGACTAGCATATTCTAGTTTCACAGATATTAAAAACAGTGAATCAACTTAAAGAGAAACATTGTGACATTATATAAAAGGGAACACAGATCCTCCAAAAATAATGAGAGTGGTTCCATGAACAAGTAGTACTTGGGAAATACTGAATCAGGTGGTCCCCAAGACCAGCTCCCACCTTCACTGCTTCCTCCCCAATGGGTTCGTGATCATCTCCTTTTACCCTTTGATCTGGCAGGAAGGAGTTTCTTTCCTAAATGCCTGATGTATGTGCTTCACTTTTCAGACCCTTTTACTTCAGTCCTAAAGCGGGAGTCTGGGTTCTCAGAGAGACACGACAATGTGAGTCCCAAAGAAGAGGCCAGCTACCACCCATCTTCCCAAAGAACCTTAAACCCCTGCCCTAGCACTGTAAAGAGGAAAATGCATGAAGACCCAGGTTCTGGCAGCAGCCCCTTGAAGCACTGACCCAACTCTGCGTTGTTTGCTTAGTTGTAGATCAAGGGTGGTGGTGTCTGATGGGGGGCATTTTGCTGGGGAAAGGATCTTGGTACTCACTGTGGCCTGAGGAGGCTGCGTGATGCCCATGGTTATGTGGCTTTGTGAGTCACCAGGCCAGGAAAGGTCCCAGGCCTCTTGGCCCAGGGCTCTCTTGCACCGGTTCACACTGCCACTTTATATGAAAGCGTTATTATCATCCTGCCGATGTGAGAGAGTAAATGGAGATTGAGCACCTGGAGTCTGGAAGCAAGGGAGGGGGGTTCTGAGATCTTCATCTCTGATGGGTGTGCCAGAAATGTATAGGAGTTTAATAAAACAGATATTGGATTATCTCATCACTCTTGCCCTTGAGTGTGTTGGGGAGAGCCAGGAAGATGAGCAGGGAGAACTAAAAGCCGAGGCTCCATCCTCATCTCTAAACTCTCCATTAACCAATTTAAAGGGTCTTAAAAGCTTCTCCGAGAGAGACTTAGAAAAAAATGATTTCTGAGTCAACGCTAATGACTCCAATTACTGAATTTGTGAATAGCTGTTCCCTGGCTTCTGGATGTTTGCCCAAGTTCAATAGCATAGGCGTGGTTGGGGGTGGGGATGGGGGTGCAAGGCACTGAAGACCAAACCCCCTAGTGACCCTTCAGATGGGAAGGACCTCCTGGCTTGAGGAGTTCAAAGGTGGGAGTACCGCGGGAGAAGGGCTAGTTGTCCACATTTGCCTCTTTCCTGCCCACCCCCCACCCCAACCTCTCGTGGTCCCACACCTCCCTCTTAACCAGTGGGGCCCATGTGTTTCCTCTAGCTCCAGGGCCTCCCCTACCCTCTGCCCTGCACGGTGGCTTCATCCCTACTGGTTCCGTTGAGTCACTGCCTCCCACAGAAGACTCCTCAGCACCAGGAATCTTGTCGTCTTTGTATTCCAGTAGCCGAGGCACTTAGCACAAGGCCCCATGCAGGTAGAGGCTCAATACAGACATTGGTTAAAGCTTAGGTTTTTAAGCTGTGCAATGCACTAATCTCTGTGGAAAGAGAGAGAGAGAGAGAAAGGTTTCTGTGGTCAAATAAGTTTGGGAAACACTGCACTAGACATCCCCTTTTTATAGATTTACAATTCACATCAGCATATTCAAGGTTCCAAGAAGTCCTGCAGTAAAGAACTTGATTAACCCAACGCTTCCCGTCTCCTTCCCTGGAGCAGAGCCCAGCTCCCTGCAGATTGCCTGTGGACCTTCCAGGGGCACTTCCTGCCCTCCCGTGGAGCCCGGCTACCCGGCTGCTTCCCCTTCTGTTGTTACTTTGGATTCTCATATTTCCTCTTTCCCTTGCCCCTGCCAGGGGGTCCAGGAGCAGTTCAGACAGTCCGGGGACACTGGGCCTCCTGTGGTGGTGGCCACAGGGGGTTCTCCCTCCCACTGAGTCATTTCAACTTAAGTACTGATTCAATTTGGGGTACCAAAGGTGGAGGTGGGATATTTTTAAACTCTCCTTGTGGAGAGGGAAGGATAGAAAAGTCATGCAAGAATGTTGTCAAAGGACCAAAAATCCTTGGCTCTCAGTCGCTGCGGTCTCCAAATAGCCCCATGGGATGGGCTCATCGGCAGACCCAGGAACTGCTGTGCTTGTGCCATTAAAATTCCGTTACTAATGACTCATGTGCCCTGAAAGGAAATGTGAAGGGAAGACAGGGAGGTGGCCCCTGTCAGCAGGGCCAGCTTGGGTCAGGATGTTGGATGATCCGGGGTTTGGGGCCTGGCCTCCTTGGTAATGAAACCTTTGTGCAAGGCTCCGCTGCCTCAGTTTCTTCATCCAGAGACCCTGTGGGGCTCAGGGATCCTTGAGACTATGATATTTGTTGTATCACCAATGCCAATACTCTACAGGGGCACTTAGTAGATGTTCAGTAAATATTTAGTCAATGAATGAATGATTCTGCGCATCACCCCCTCTTTACCCAACGCCCAGCACCAAGCCTACCCAATTTATGCCTTAAATAGTTGTTGAGTGAATGAATGATTCTCTATATCCTTCCCCCACCCACTGCTGTTCTTAGTGCTGCTTCTGATATGTAATTTTTCAATACATGCAAAATGTTCTTCGAATGAATGTTTCCATCATGCCTCACTCCTCCCCCCACCCATTACCATGTACCCAATACTTGCTAGGGACTGGAAAACACAGCTGTTTTCTAGGTACATCTATGTGCCAGGCTGAGCCTGTGCTAACATTCTTCCTTACCCCTCCTGTGTTCTTTTTGGGTTTTGGTTCTCTCCAGGGTCCCTAGGGTAGTGGTTGCCATCTCACTCTTATTTCAGCCAGTGAGAGGTAGGGTCAGCTGGTGACAGATGGGCAGGCTGCCTGTCAATCTCTGAGCTGCCCCCAGGCTCCAGCAAGCACTGTATTGCACTCCTGGTGCTGGGGAACAGCTGACTACTGGTAAAAAATGTCCCTCTGTGCTTTCCAAATTAAGACGATATTTAACTGAGTGCTCGCTGGCTTGCCTGTTCCCTCAGTCTCCAGGGGACAGAGCCCATCTTGGAGGAAAATGTTTTGAGCATGTCCAAAGTCTCAGCTTTGACATCTTGGCAGATATCGGGAAGTTTCTGTAACCTTCCTGTTCAGTACACTCAGTTCTGTCACCATATACATGGTCTCACTCTCAGTCTGTTATTGGGGAAGGGATGGCTTCAGCATGCTAGAGGGGTGTTGCATAGTGCAGGCAAGAATGCCAAAACACACACACACACATACCCCTGCCCTGATCAAAGATTAGTTGAACAGCTTTGCGCATGCTTTCTCCAGGCTCTGCAGGGAAGGCAGAACTGAGGACCCTTCTAGCGGATTGCAGTAGTCCTTAATCTTATTTTGGGCACAGACCCCTTTGAGAATCTGATGAAAACACTGATTCTTTCCCCTAGAAAAATGCACTTCCTCCCAATTTGGCATGCAGTTCAGCAGATTCATAGATCCTGAAGCCCAACCAAGGTCAGGAACCTTTGATATATTAGAAAGAACCTCATACTAACTCCCAGATTCAGATCCCAGCCCTGCCACAAACCTGCCATGTGGCTTTGGGCAAGTTGTCAGCTCTTTCTGTCTTACCAATTGCTTGGCTATAAAATATTCAGCCTCCTTATGACTCAAATTGCTCACGTCTGTGGAGGTTTAGATAGGGACTTAGAGCTGTGCAGCATAACCTTTCATAGGTCATGTGTTCCTTTGAGAATGACGAGAACGTTGTGTCTACTGCCTAGCACAATACCTATATACAGTTTACCCGGAATGACAGCTGTCGGATGTTTGAACTAGAGTGATGGGTGAGCCAGTGCAGCCAGCCGTGGTTCCCGGTCCCTTAGGTCACCCCCCACTCCCCAGCTTACACACTTCTCCCCATCCTCCATGCCCCCCTCTACTCTGCATATGAAGCCACAAGTAATCGGGGAATCAGCACTTTTGGCTCTTGTGCTGTGGTTTTCAGACTTTGCTTTCACATAATGGAACCATTTATTTTTCTAATGAAGTCTTACCTGGAGCTCCAATATAAATAAAAGGGAGCTCTGAAGCATTTATTTCCCCATGCATCATTCATTCATTTATTCATCCATCCATTCAAGTATGGTTCAAGCATCGCTTTGTGCCAGCACCTGGCCTCTCTGACTTGGGCACCCTGTAGTGTGAAAATCAGAGATCTCATAAGGGGATCACTCTTGCCTGGAGTGAGACAATCAGAGGCCTAGGGACTCTGCCCCTAAAGCTCTTAACTTTGGGGGGCCTTATTTTCCTCATCTGTAAGGTGAAATAACGGACTAACGATGCCACACTGCATTCCAAGTTAATATGGCTTTCACGATCCCTGGTAGGGAGTATGATTAGCCCATTTCTGTGGATAGTGAACATGAGTGCTGAGCTCCAAAAAAGGACAAAAAGAAGAGCACAGAGAGGAATCCAGAACCCCAAACTATTGAGAAGCTAGCTGAATTACAGCTTGGAATTTTCCAGGAAAATTAGTATAAATCTGAGCATTGGGAAAGTATTTGCTGTCTCTCACTCTTTTCTCCCCTGGAAGGTTTGATGCTGTCAGTGTCGATTTCATAGACTCAGTTCACGCACTGTCCTCTTGGATTGAATTCACAGGCCTGAACCTGTTGTGACAGAGAAAGTTTTACTCACAAACAGTGGGTCTACAAAGAGGACTTCTGTCCCTGGAGGACTGCTTGTGGGGAAGGACAGGAGCCTGCAGAAGCCCAGGCCTGCATTAGGTCAAATCCATGTGCCTTTTGTTCTTAGATGTGCAGAGCCACACAGGCCTGACAGGCTTTGGAAGTATTCTTTTAAATATTGTTTTTTGAGAGGAGGTCAGGCAAGTCTACTACTGGCAAAAGTTCACCTACGGGGATTTTGCCTTGCTTTGCCTTGCCAGGCAGCTTAGTGTCAAGGTCAAAAGCATGGGTTCTGGTATTAGACAAGGCTGGCTCCAAGTGCTGCCTCTGTTTCTACTCTCTACTTGATCTTTGGGCAAGACACTCAGCCTTTTCAAGCCTCATGTCCTTGTCTGTGAAATGGGGATAATTACACCTCCTTCCCAGTGTTGTTGGGAAATTAAATCCTATTGTAAAACCCAGTGCCTGGCTGGTGTAAATGCACTCTAAACAGTCATTCTTTTCCTAGCCCTAATTTTCCAGTTGAGTGTTAGAGTATTAGAGAATGCAGCAGTAGACGTGTGGGGTCAAGGGCATGTGTGTCCATTACTGCATACCTAGCAACACTCCAACTTGCCTGACTCCTGTTCAGACCTGGCAAGGTCTTGTTGGAGATGGAATGACAACCCTCTCTGTTGTTCTTCCTTCCTCCCCCTTAACAGGTGCAAACAGGAGAACAAACTACAGCTTTTCCTTTATTAGTAAGTCAGTGAGCTTTTCCTGGTACTCCAGAATCCAGCCCCCATCCTCCAGAATGCAATAAACCATCCTTCCCTGCTTGTGACATTCCTTGGCATAATTCCGCCAGAGGACTGACGCTTCACCCTTCATGTGTGTTTTGCCAGCAAACACTTAATCTTAGCCACAGACACTTCGTTTTCCAAAAAGTTCACAGGCAGAGACAGCCCAGGGCTGGCTGCTTTGCTCAGCCAGTTGTTAGTCCTGGACCCCTGCCACCCTCTGTGGGGCAACATGATCACCCCAAATTTCTTGGGTCACCTCTGGCCAGTGAGTTCAAGGATTTTAGAAGCCAGTTCATGTCCCAGGATGTTCAGGGTCTGGGCTCCATAACATCTGCCAGAGCTCCTGGTTCCTGGATCCACAGGCCCTTGCTGCTGCTGTTGCTGTAGGACCTACTCTCAATCCCCTTCTCACCTGCTCCCCCCTGGACTTCTGCGCCTGAGGCCCCACTGGTGGCCAGGTTTAGGCTGAGGGTTCTCCCGCAAACAGAGAGGCGTCGCAGCACCTCAGAGGCGGCCTCTACGGGCACGCTGGGGCGCTGCTCCAGCAGCATCTCCAGCAGTGAGCTCATCTCCGAGACGAAGGTGCTGGCCAGTCGTGTGCCCGTCGGGCTCAACTCTGGTCCAGTCCCCTTGCCGAATGTCTGGAAGGTTCTAGGCTCCTCTGAGGCTGCAGCGTCAGCAGAGAATAAGTTGTCACGGTAGTTGGTGGCCAGGGGTAAAGAAAGCCTTGCCATCCAGGCTGGGTCGGGGGTGCTCAGTCGGTCCAGGGCCAAACCTGTAGGGGAAGAGGAGATACAGTGAGGCCTGGCCCAGGAAGGGCCAGGCGGGACAGGGTGGGGTGTGGGCAGGGCAAAGGCATGGGACAAAGGAGGGAAGGGAAGTGGGGGAGGGAAAGATGGGTGGTTGGAGGGGGAACGGGAAGGAAGAGGCCCTGACAGGGAAGCTCATGAGCAGGAAGGCAGGACCCAAGTTCACAGGAGAGCTGAGTGGAAAGGACGCAGGAGGAGAAATTAGAAAGTGGCTTAGAATGAAATTGCCTTGTTTCTAAAGACTCTCCCAGTCTATGAGCTATTTCATGTCTTCGGGTCTTCCACCCATTTCTGTAAGGCCCTGATGGGGTGCATCAGGGCACCACTAGCTGAGAGGGTGGGGATGGAAATCCTTTTTCTTAGCCAAGGCTGCAGTTCCTAGCTTGGTGCTGCCTTCTGTTGGTGTTCAGGATAATAGTTACCACTAATGAAGCACTTCTGTGTCAAGCCATTAAATAATTATCTCATTTAACCTCTATGCAAACCTTTGGAGTTGAATATCATCCAATTTTATGGATGAGGAAACCAGAGAATGGAGTTAAGGCCATCATAGGGAAGCCCCCTGTGGCTGTACCACCCTACATGCTCTCAAAAGCTGACCTATCCTCTCTGGGTGCTCCTAGTGCCCACCTATGGCCTCTGGAATTCCCAGGCCTGCTAAGGTTTGTGCTGTCACAACCTGGCCCTACGTCCTCGTCTCCTCAACCTTTAACCCCTGGCCCTGTGCCCTCAACTCTTCAACCTTTACCCTGAGGCACCCTGAGCTCTTCAGCCATTACCCCCTGGCCCTGCACCTCAACTCCTCAGCATTACTCTCTAGTTTCATGTCTGGAACACCTCAACCTTTACCTCTCAAGCTGCGGGAATCACAGTCCTGACATCAGGCTGGAAAGGAGCTGGTGGGGCAGTGAAAATCTTACCCCCAGTCCGCCAGGGCCACCTCACACTGCTTCTTTCCCCAGCTCTTCAAAAGAAAATCCTACCTCAAAAAACTAGTCCACATCTGATGGTAGGAGGCTAAACCAGAGGAAAGTGTAATTCTTGTGGTTAAGAAACTGAGTCTTTGGAAAAAAAGGGGGGGCACAATACATACTTCAACGTTTATTTAATGTTTGCCTAAGGTGAACTACTTTAAAATCTGTGCATAGAGACTAGGAAGCTGTATGTCAACGTGTTAACTGAAATTACCCCGGGAAAAGGTGATTTATTTTCCTTTTGTTTATCTACATTTTTCTATATTAACCAAATATTACTTCTGTAATTTGTAAAAGTTATTCCAAAATACAGCTAATGGTTGTTTATATTGATAAATGAGCCCTCGCCTTGCCTTGACAGTGTCAGGCTTGCAGGCTTGCAGTATCCGCTTCGCAGCTGGATACTGGGGTCCAGCCTGGGACTTAGTGAACATTTATTGAATGAACATAAGTATTAACCCTGGAAACTTGGGAAATGTAAACCTTAAGGTTCCCTGAGACTCTGAGGTAATAAGGTTGAACTCTTTTGGTGTTACAGAATCAGGCCTTTCCTTGCATGAAGGTCAGATAGCTTCAGAAGGGGTGAAGCTTGGAATAAGTAAACCACCAGGATGTATGAGAAGGACTGGAAGGCCATGGTGAAGTCACTCAGCAGAAGGTGGGGCACTGGGCCAACCTGGGTTTGATTTCCCTGCTTTGCCACTTAGGGGCAGTGTGACCTTGGGGAAAATTGCTTAACTTCTCTGTGCCTCCTTTTCCTCTCAGAAAGTAGAGAAGTGGTAGCACTCATTGTGTCAGGTTGAATTCAGTGAGCTCATGCAGCCAGTGAAATATTGTCATCATCACACCCTTAGGTGGAGCTTTTTTCTGATGCGGCCAGGATCCCAGTCTCAGGCTGGCCAGTCCTGCAAGTAGTAGATGCTTTTATCCCTACTCCTCTCTTTGTTCCCTAACTTGAGCAGCCCCCAGACCCTTTATGCTGTGGGGAAGGAAACCATGTAGGAACTGAACTCACAGGTTCTGGTCAGAGCTGGTTACAGAGATATAATGGCCACAGAGGTCATTTTCAATTTTCTAGTAGACATATTGAAAAAGTAAAAAGGTGAAATTGATTTATAAATTTTTTATGCCTAATGTCATCATGTTTATCATGTAACTGAAATTTTTTAAGTTACTTATAAGATATTGTACATTCTTTTTTCACACTAAGTCTTCCAATCTGGAGTGTATTTTATACTTACAGCACACCTCAATTCAGACTAGCCTTTTTCTCTGTGGCCACTGTAATGGCCTCACAGCTCTACATTCTAGACAATGGTATCCTATAAAACTTTCTATATGGTGATGTCCATAGTATGTCCACTAACCACATGTGGCTATTTAGCACTTGAAATGTGCATGGCATGGCTGAGTAACTGAATTTTTCATTTTACTTAGTTTTAATTAGATTTAATTTTACTTTATTTTAATTTAGAGCTACGCTGCCTGTGTTAATAACCATTGGCTGCACAATCTTGGGAAAATTACTAAACCCCTCTGACCCTTAGACTTTTCCTTTATGAAATGGGGATAACGAATAGGCCCTATCATAAGATATCCTCATGAGGCATATAGAAAGCGCTCAATAAATGTTACATGTATTTTTTAAGGAAAGGGAAGTGCTTCCCATGCCTTCGGCATGTTTGTGCCAGATGAAGCACACAGAATATGCTTGGATGAGAAAGAAACTGTTGGCTACAGAAACGGAAAAAAAAAAAAAAATAGGGATGGTCGTGTATAAGGTGAGTCACCTGAAGGAGGCTGACCAGTCTCCACCACAGGGAGGGGGCACTAGCAGGTTCTTGAATTAAAATTCATGTTATACAGTTTATTGTCCAAACTAATTGTTTCTTTAGAAAATTCTCGGTTTCAATTGGAAATGTTAGCACATTAAAGAATGGCTTCAGTTCTTAGGGTTAAAGGGTATTTAACACACCTAAGAAATGGAAATGATTGGGTTAGAAAGTGAGGGGAGGTATCCTGATGACGGGACTGGCTGACCCCTCTCAATTGCTGATGAGCTCTGTGAACCTAGGTGACTCCATGCAGTCCAGTTACCTCCCTAGCTTATCTCTAAATTGGAGATTTTTTTTAAAGATGTATTTTTTTATTTTATTTATGCACACAAGAACTAGGGTGTAGGCCAGAGGTGCAGGGGTGTGAGAGGATTCACCAGAGACAGAGTGGGGAGGAGAACAGATAGATTGACTGAAATACACTGCTGAGGGAAGCAGTGGGTAAGACAGGAGACAACACCGACCATGTGGGTCAGCAGCCTGGCCAGGGATCAAACTCATGCTGCAGTGGGTGCTGATAGCTTCATAGTGCTGAGACTTAACCCCTTGCCCCACCAGGGAGGCCCCTAAATTGGAGCTGTTAATATCTACCTCGAAGGTCTGTGTGGAGGCTAAAATGCAATGATGTGTATAAGATGCTTACAGGGTACTTGGCAAACACCAAGAACTCAGTAATGGGGCCTCCCCGGTGGCGCAGCGGTTGAGTGCTGGGTTGCGAAGCTGCCCGCAGCCCCTGCGGCGCTGGTTCTATCCCCGGCTGCTCCCCGGCCACCAGAGGAGGGTCCCACATGGCGCGCAGACCTCTCCTGCCGCCCGCTGCACCCCTCAGCAGTGTACTTCGGTCCTTCTGCCTGCTCTGCTCCCCGCTCTGGCTCTGGTGAATTCTCTCACCCTCCCGTGCTTCTGACTGTACCCAGTGCATGTATAAACAAAACAAACAAACAAACAAATAAATAAACATGCCTCTATTAAAAAAAAAAATTACTAAAAAAAAAAAAAAAGAACTCAGTAATTATTCACTATTTTTATGATGATGTTTTAAAATTAACAATCGAAGTAGAATCTGGTCTTTAAACAAACAAAGGCTTTAGGGGAAATAAAATGTTTCTGAGAGTCCTCCCCAGAAATAGAATGCTGTGTTTCCATGTGGTAGATCTGAGCAGGACTTTGAAGCCTGGGTACAAGAGGGGACTGTGGGGGGAGAAACAGGTTTGGGGTGACCCTAGGAAGTCCTTACCTGTATGGGGGTCCAGCAGGCTTGACAGTTCTTCTTCTAGCAGCTGCTTCACGGAGAGATCCTCTTCAGAGTCCAAAGATCCTTCTTCCTGGTCAGGTTCTGCTTGGCCACCAGCCCTGGCACCTGGGCCCTCTGCGTCTGGGTTTGTACTCCTGTGAAGGAAGCCAACACTGTCAGCATGTGAGCAAATTCACCCATGGATGCATTCATTCCTGTTCACAAACATCCTTTTATTCTTTTCACATTCGTTCATCCATATAGGGAGCTGTATACACAACCCTGCCTTCAGAGTCAGACCAAACTGGGTTCCTGATCCTAGCCCTCCTGCCTACTCTGAGTCATGTTTCCTCATCTGTAAAATGGGGGTAAATAAACAACACCCACCACATGGTAAAATGAGACCTTGTGTGTAAAGGATTTCATTTGTGCTGCCTGGTACATTGTGAGTGCCTTGGTATAATTATTCACCATTTCCCTCCCATTCTTTCACATTGCCTGGCACAGAGTAGGAGGTTAGTAAACTGTAATTCTTCCCTCCTTCCACTAGCCATCCATCCACTCACCTCTCCCTTCTGCTCCTTCTGTCTCCCTCTTTCTTTCTTTTTTTTTTTTTTTAAGATTTATTTATTTATGCATACAACAACTGAGGTACAGGAGAGAGGTACAGGGGGAGGGGGGGCACGGTGAGAGGATTCACCAGAGACCCAGTGGGGAACAGAACAGGCAGACTGACTGAAATACACTGCTGCAGCGGGGGAGACAGGAGACATCTACTGCACCATGTGGGAAGCTCCCTGGCCAGATCTAACTCATGCTGCAGAGGCTGTGGATAGCTGCACAGTACTGTGCTTAACCCTTTGCGCCACCAGGGAGGCCCACCTTTCTCTCTTTCTTTCCCTCCCTCCCTCCCTCCAAGTTTGAACTCTAGTGAGGGCGGGGTTTTTTGTGTTTCAGTCCCTGTTCTCCCACCAGTGCTCAGAACAGGACCTGGCACGTAGTTGGTGATTAAAAACTTTGTGGAATGAGTAACCAAATATTTTCTTCTCCCTATTTGAGGCCAACTGCCAGAACAGAAGAGCAGGTCTCTAGAGGACATAGCTGAGGTGAGGTATCCAAAAGCTGCTCAGAACTTACCACCCTGTTACCATCCTTCACCCTCCCTGTCTTCTGGAGAGGTGGATTCCTGAGACATTTTAGCTTGGGGACAGAGGCTTAGCTCCTTATTCCAGAAGGTCTGAAGGCTCCCTGAGAAACTTGTGGACCTGGGGGTCCTTTCTGCTCTTTTTCTATGGCCATTTCTGCTTCTCTGAAGGGGCCAATGGGGAGGTGGCAAGTTTGCAAATAATAATAACAACTAACATTGATGGAACAGTTCCTCTGAGTCAGGCCTCATGCTGTACAAGGTGCATAAACTTCCTATCAGACCAGTTTTGTTACTCACTGGCTGTGTGACCTTGAGCAAAGTCACTTTTTTTTTAAAAGATTTATTTATTTTTTATACAAGGGTTGGGGTACAGGCCAGAGGTGTGGGAGGGGGAGAGGGATTCACCAGAGACAAAGCAGGGAGCAGAACAGGCAGACAACTGAAATACACTGCTGAGGGGTGCAGCGGGCACAACAGGAGAGGTCTGCCACGCCATGTGGAAATCTCCCTGGCCTGCAGGGTTCAGTGCTGCAGAGGCTGTGGACAGCTTCACAGCACTGCGCTCAACCCACTGCACCACCGGGGAGGCCCTGAGCAAAGTCACTTTAAGAGGAAAGAACTTAGTTGTGTACCTGTGATGTTGTGTGCCAGGCGCTGGACTATGGGTTTAGGACATACAATACATCAAATCTTTACCCCACCTCTATGTGCAAGTGTGGTGACCTTCATTTTACAGGTGAGAAACAAGGCCTCAAGGGATTATCTGACTTGCTCAAGTTTACATAGCTGGTGTGGATCACACTACTTAGAGCCTCAGTTTCTCCATCTGTAATAAGGAGGAGTTAGGTTAGATGTCCTTTTAAGGTCTCTTTAATTCTGGGATAGCCCGAAAGAATACTCCCCCGCCCCCTACTTCTGTCCTTAGCCAAGAGCTTTCATATTCTGTTTAAGAGTCAAGAGAAAGAAAGCTGAAAATTACAGACTTAAAGTCCATAACCCAGTACCCCTGCAGTCAGGGAACAGATAGAACCTGGGGCAGGGGCGGGGATGAAGACATTTCCTTAGTAATTTCGGGTCCTGTAAATACTATAAATACAGTTGCTCTAAGACCAAACTGCTTGGGGTGGGGAGATAGACACTGTCTACTGTACCCTCTGGGGACCAGCTTCTGGGATGTCTTCCTCTTCTCACATGATAGAGGTTGCAGGGCTGAGGGCAGCCAGTGGGGGGAGGGAGGGTGTTGAGAAGCCTGTGGGAGCTACGTGCTGCTTACCTGCCGCCGCCGGGCTTGGCTGAGTACTTATTTCCCCGGTGGTTTGGTTTGGGCTGGAATTGGCCCTGATGCAGCAAGGACAGCAGCTGGGAGATTTGCTACAAGACAGGAAAAATCTGTTGACTCCACACAATTCCGACCCAGCACACTTCCTCGCCGGATGTTTCCCTCAATGCCGGCGCTTTCTTTTTATAGTCTTTCCTCTGGCTTCAGATGTTTGTGTGATCAGATGGGGGATGGTGAAAGGTAGCGGTGGCAGCTGGGGACCTGTGCAGGCAGGTTCCCCGCATGGCCGTGTCACCAAAGTACCTGGGTGCCTAAAGGGAGAGAAGGGAGACCTTGTGTGCCCATACCCTCACTCTCAGCCCCCCAAGTGACCTGCTTCTGGTGGAATCTGTGGGATGGGGGTGAAAAAGGCATTTCCTGACCATAAATTCATTATTGCTTTGATAAAAATTATCTTAAAGGGTTATTTCCTCCCCTTCCACAGTATTCTAAAACTCAGCCAATTTTTGTAGGTCAAATGTAAGACAATTTCGTAGAGAAGACAAAATGGTATCATCTAATCATTCACTTATTCATCCATTCATTCAGTCAAGGAGAATGCGAATGAGAACATGACTGAGCCACTGCCCTCAGGGAGCTCACAAGAAGACAGGGCACAGGGTTCCTACCAGGAATTGCATGGGGTTGGGAAGGAGGGGTCTGTGGGACAGAGGAGGGCCCCTCACTCAAAGAAGGGGGGAATGAGGGAGGAACAGGGGAAGTTTATTTATGTCAACATTTGTCTGTTGAGTTCATATAACATGCCAGACACCTCTTCTAAGATCCAAAGCTTCCACTGGAGTTTGGCAAGTAGAGGGGGTCAGGACTGGGCGAAGGGTGAAGAGAGTTTCTGACAGAAGTCTCTTAGCTAAAAGGCCAGAGGAGATGGTGACATTTCAGAAGGCTAGATAATGGGGACAGAGGCTGGATGACATGTTGCCATTCGATGCAGCAGGGCCTCCTGGGGGTGAAGAGTAAGTCTTGGGAGGCTGAGTTCTAGTTCAAGGTCATTTCTAGCTTGTATAATTCCAGGCAGGTTTTTAGACATACTCAGAATTTAGTTTCCTCATCTCTAAGGTGGAACTAGAAATACCTGCCAACCTTCTTGAAAGGGTTGGTAGGATTAATTGCATGATTTGAAAGTTAATTCAAACTCCAGATTACTTCAGTTTGGGTTTTTACTCCTAGAAGCACTGCCTCTGCCTCCTGGGCCCATCCCTGCCCTCCCTAAGGAGACCCACTCCACCTCTCTGGGCAGCTTAAGACAAAAAGTGACAACCTCAGGCAAGTTGAACAAGGAAATGACCAGGACTGGGATTTCACTAAGACTTGGGAGGGTCAGGGTCCCATTGTCAGCCTCAGGGCACATCTAACCCCTCCAGCTCAGGCCCAGAAGCCCTCCTAAGGCACTTGTCACCCTTTTCCCCAATGAAGGGGATACTGCTAAATGCAAACCCCTGAGCTGAGCACTGTCATTTGGGATCATTTCATAGTTAAATCCCAGACTCTGGAGTCAGTCAGGCTTGGTTTCAGATTCTAAATCTGACCCTGCTCTAGTTTCCATCTGTTTGACCTTGAGGAATTCATAAACATTCCGAACCTCAGTTTCCTCAGCAATGAAAAAGGCAGTAATAATGAGGTCTAGGCCATATGATGATTGCAGTTATGAAGCAAAATGAAAGTGTATAAAACATTTATCAATAGATCTTATGAAAAGCACTTAATAACTATAATTATGTATCACTTAGTTATATAATCTCATTTAGTTCTTACACTAACACAAAGAGAGAGTTACCATTACACCCATTTTACAGATGAGGTTCACAGAGGCCACACAACAATTAGTGGTAGTGTTAGAATTTGAACCTGGACCTCCCTCCACCATAACACTATGCTGTTAGAAAATCATGAGCATTAGGCAGTCTGCCTCTTAGCCTCAAGATGATTCCGAATGAGCACCCTAGTGGGGTCACCTACTGTGCCTGTTCTCTGCTGTCTCTGTTCACCAGCCACCAGCATGTGTTTGACACAAAGAGCTCATTTAGTAAGCATTTGATGAATGAATGACTGAATGAATGGCTCTGGGAAATTTCTAGGGCTGCATCAAGCTCAGGACTAGATTCCCAAGGCAGCAGCTGGGCCCTCTCCAGGTGGCTTCCTGGAGAGGTGTGGGGGAAAGGAAACAGTGGCCTTGCTCCACAGGAAATCAGAGCTGATGGCCTACCCAAACAGACGTGTGCCTTGGGTGGACAACCTGGTACAGGGAAAATTATCTGGGGCTCAGAGGAGCATGTGAGCATATCAGATACCATCCCTGAAAAAGATTTCCCATCTGTGTCTAGTAAACCCAGGGTCACTAGACACTTTATCATTCATCATCCTGTTTGATCCGCACCCCCTGGGAGACAGACGTGGTAAGTTTGGCATCATAATCCCCATTTTATAGATAAGAAAATGAAACTCAGATGTTAAAGGACTTGCCCCCTGTCCCCCAATTTCTAAGCAGCTGTGCTGAAATCTGGATCTGGATCTAACAAACTCCCAGTTCCAAGGTTGTTTTAACTGCCCATCACACAGGCCCAGCTGGCAAGCTCTGGGTTCTTAGGCAAGTCAAATGCAGCCCTGATCCAAGGGTAATGATGCCCATGCCACCTAGCTTCATGAAGAAGTTGCCCAGATGAGTAGAGGGCAGGTGGAGATGGAGAAGAGATTTGTAGAAGTAATTGTAATTATTTGCTGAGTGCTAAGTGCCAGATACTGTCTGGAAGCTTTATGTGCACTCAGTTTATCTCCAGGCAAGCTTACAAGACAGTTGCTGTTAACATGGACATCTTCAACAGAGAAGCTGTGTAACTTCCCTGGTTCCAAAATTTGTTCTCTTTATCACTACCGCTGCTGTGTGTCTGCTCGTGCAAGGCACCCTGAGTAAGTGCGTTAGAGGAGTTAACTGATCGATCCTCAGAACAGCTCTTCAAGGCAGGTGCTCTTACTGTTATTATTTTACAGATAGAGACACTAAGACTCAGAGTCAGTGAATAATTTGCACAGGCTCACACACAAATACTGTTGACCCCAGAGCTATGCCCTGAACCACTGGTACCCACCGTTAAATTCTTGGTCAGCCTAAGAAGTGAAAGTGAGGAATGTTAGGGTAATGGAGTGTCTGATGGTTGTTGGTGGTGGTGGTGCAGAGATGACCAGAGTCACCCACACCCAATATACCTGAACAGGCGGAGAATCCACAGTGAGCTCCTCCACTGGGTTCCGTTCTGCAAAGGCAGCCACAGACAACCGGACCAGGCTTCGCAGAATCTGATGGGGACCCGTCTCTGCCTCAGAGGTCACTTTGCCATTGAGATTCCGCTGCCGCCTCAGGGTTGCAGAGGAGGCAGGTGGGCTCAGTGGGGCTTCCTCGCTGCTTGGGTCTCTAGACAACCTCCCTGTGGGACTGCTCGCAACCTTCACAGGCTTCAGGCGTGACTGGCCTGTAGCAGGCTGAAGCTCAGGAAGGCTCAGGTTCTCCCGGGAGGCATTCCTCTGCCTGGGATGATTGAAAAGGAGGTTGACCGTGTCAGGCAGCACCTCTCGGCTCTCAGTGAGGGCTCCCTGGTTGCCTTGGTTCCTCAGGGTTCGGTATAGAGTGGGTGTGAGGTGAAAGGGGGCCTGCAGGCAGGGATCCCAGCCTGCTTCCATCATCGCCTCCTTGCCTGTGTCCTTGTGGGACTCTCCGCCTCTGCTCGGCTCATCCGCCTGGCCCCTGAGCACAGGCACGAGATGAATGTCTGCTTTCTGAATGTGTTTTTGAGGCCGCTTGGGCTGGTGGCGGTAGGTGGACTCAGCCTCCCGACAATTGTAGGCCTTGTCCTTCTTTTCTGTCCGGCAGATGGACACGATCAGAGCTGAGATCAACCCGAAGATGGCCAGCAGCACGATCAGGCAAATCACCGTCAGCACTGATGTGCTCAGGACCCCGGGCTCATGAGCTGAGTCCCTCAGGTGGTCCACGCTGCTGACAAACAAGACCCTCAGCAGGGCTCGGGTCTGCAAGGAGGGGCTGCCACGGTCTTCCGCCACTATTTCCAGCTCCCACTCACTCCCAATAAGGCTACTGGCATTGGTGATGTTGATGAACAACTGGCCCAGGTAAGGGTTGAGGACAAAGAGATGGGCCTCGTTCCCACTCCGAATGCTGTAGAGAACCTCTCCATTTGCCCCTGAGTCTGCATCTCTTGCTACAATGGTTGATAAAAGGAATGGCCGGGAGCTGTGGGTGGCCAGTGGTGATGAGTCTGTGCCTACTAGACCCAAGCCATTAGGAGTCTCAATGGGCACCAGAAGGTGGCCTGTGGAGGCATTTACAAGCACTGAGAGGCTGGCTTTTCCATCACTGAGTATGGGATGAATCACCTCTGGGGCATTATCATTGGCATCCAGGAGACTGACCTGTACAGAGACACTGGACACGAGCTGGGGCTGCCCCTTGTCCTCTGCAATCACCCGGAACTCGAAGCCAGTCAACTGTTCATAGTCTAGTGACCTCTGAGCAGTCACCTCACCTGTGTCTGAGTTAATAGCCACCAAGTGAGAAACTGGGGAGTCCTGGATACAGTAAGAGATTTTTCCATTAATGCCCAAATCAGCATCATGAGCCTTGATGGTAATGAGGTGAAGAGAGGGTAGGTTGTTTTCTCGAGTAGAGACCTCATACCTGCTCTTCTCAAATACAGGTGCATTGTCATTCACATCGCTGATCTGAATGCTGAGCTGTTTCATGGCTGATAAGGGCTGGGGTCCTTGGTCTTGAGCCAACAGGGTGAGGGTATATTTAGGCCACTGCTCCCTGTCCAGTGTGGCATTGGTTAGCAGCATATATGTGTTGCCATTGGTCCTTTTCAGCCTGAAGTGGCCCAGCTCTTGGCTCAGCCAGCAGTGAACCAGCCCGTTGTTTCCTGAGTCCAAGTCATTTGCCATGATGAGAGCAATGAAACTGTCTTTGGGAAGACCTTCTGACACCAGTGATGGCTGGGAGGCCCAGGTGATGTGGATGCTTGGGGCATTGTCATTGACATCCAGAACCTTGATGAGAACTTTGCAATGGGCTGGGATGGGGTTGGGACCTAGGTCCCTTGCCTGGACATCTACCTCATAAGCAGGATTCTTTTCATAATCTAGGGATTGAAGCAGAATCATCTGGCCTGTCTTGGCATCAATACTGAAGGTGTCCAGTACTTCTGGAGGCACATGTTTACTGAGGAAGAACTCCACCTCCCCATTGGGGCCTTCGTCAGGGTCCGTAGCAGTCAAGTTTATGAGGAGAGTACCAGGGGCAGCGTCTTCTTGAATTTCTAGTGCCAGTGAACTCTCAGCAAACACAGGGCTATTGTCATTGGAATCTAAGACGTTGACCTTGACCAAGCTGGTGCCTGACTTGGGGGGGTTCCCACTGTCATAGGCTGTTAGCACCAGATCAAAAAATGAGTGGATTTCCCTGTCCAGCTCCTTCACCACCACAAGCTCTGCATGTTTGGTCTCATCAGGCCCCACAATGACATCTAGGGCAAAGTGCTCGCTGGGAGACAGGGTGTAGGAATGCAGGCTGTTAGAACCCGTGTCTGGGTCAAGGGCTCTGTCCAGGGGATCCTGGTGTGCAGAGAGGCACTCTCAGAGATTTCTAGCTCCTGCTCACTTTTGGGAAACTGAGGCTGGTGGTCATTGATGTCTAGCACCTGGATCTCCACATGGATCAGAGCCAGATCCCCTGTAGCAAGCACATCAAAGGAAACCAGGCAGGGGTCCCGCTGCCGGCAGAGTTGCTCTCGGTCTAGTCGCCTCCCTGTGCTGAGCAGGCCATCCTCAAAGTCCACCTGGATGGGGAGTGCCTGTGGCAGCTGCAAAACCTGAAAGGCAGCCCCCACTTGCCCACGCCTCCCCTCCCGGCCCAGTTCCCGGGACAGGTTCCCTATCACTGTGCCAGACGGCACTTCCTCTGACACTTGGTATTTCACAGTGAGGGTGGCCACCTCCTGGCAGTCTCCTGAAAGCAACAAGTAGCCACCTGGCCCCCAGAATCCCAGCAAAAGTGGCAGAAATTGCATCATGCTTACCGCCAGTGAGCTAGATTCAGAAACTGCTAGAGTTCTTCAAAGGCTGGGCAAGTCCTCCAGTGTTTCTGGGGGGCGTTGATTAACCCCGTTCTCCTGCCCCCAGACCTGTGGGCACAGCCCTGTCCCATGGTTAGATAATGATGGTACTAGCAGGATTCCCAGGCAAGGCCATCTTCATCTGAAGAGATCTGAGAGATCCAAGCGCGGGTGAAGGGAAATTGCCGGGGGAGATCCTGCAAAGGGGAACCCACTGGCTCACTTCGGCAAATGATGTACAAGAGCCGGTCAAGGGGGGACTTGATCCAGTAGAGCAGGATGTGGGGATCTGACTTCCAAACAGTTGCTGGGCTGGGGAAACAGAGAAGCAGCTTTTTCCTATGGAAACCCCACCTACAGGAAAAGGGAGGGCTGTGAGTTTCAATGCCAATTAGAGGAAGAGCATTTCCTGTGAAGCGGAGTGGCCTGTGCTGAGGAGGATGCGCCAGGGCTCCGGGGCAGCCTGATGGGAAGGTGCTGTCCACACGGCAAGGCAGCCGCTGAGGGAAAGGGAGGCCCTGTGTGGCCAAGTGAGCAGAGAACCCTGCCTGGCCACACTGAGGCTGGGATCTGTCCTGGGCAGGTCATGCTCCCTGACTCTCTTCCTTCCCTCAGTTCTCTTTGCCATTATTTCCCCCACTATTCCTTGCCTGTTCCTGTCTTTTCCCCATACTTGCTTGCCTTCGGTCTTGGTTCACCCATTTTTGTCTCACTGGGAAGGAGCTGTGATAAAGCGAGCACAAAGTCAAAACCGCTTGGGTTCTAATCCTGACTCTGCAAAGCTGGGTCACGTGGGACAAATCACCCAGCCTCTCTGAGCCTCCGTCCCCACATCTTTAGAGCAGGAAGGGACTAACAGCTCTCTACAGGAAATTGAGAGGTTGGAATGAAATGATGCACAAAGGGCTGGGCCTGGCAATGATATTGTGAGGTGGGTATTGTGAGCCTCTCTGCTCATCCTACCTTATGACTACCCTGGTTTCTCACGCTGGTGCTGTGCCAGTCTCGGCCCCACACTGACTCGATGTGGTGCCCATTGCCTCAGCTCCTGAAGTGCAAGAATTTCCCTCTGACCTGGTCTCGGGACTTCCCTTCCCTTCCCTCCTGGCTCCCCCAGCTCCAGGCCCATTGTTCTCTGCATCTGGTCTAGTCTGAGCCCCTGTCTGGGGGAATCCCCCAGCCTCCCACTCCTGAGTCTTGGAGGTTTTTATATTTTTCTCTCTCCCACTCCTTCCTCTCCTTTTCCCTCCCTTCCTGCAATTCTTCTCTCCCCACTGCCGTTTGTGATGGAGTCCCATGAGTGATAACTCCTATGCTGCCCCCAACACTCCTCCTAGGTAAGTCAAGGTATGCCCACCCTCCCATTCACCTCCTTGCAGAGGTGGGGCCCAGAAAGGGGACGAGTGGGAGTTTGCTTGGGTGGTCTGCAAGGTGGCTTGCTACTTCTTATGTCCCTCCTCCATTTGCTGCCCCAGCAGTCTCCCAGCCCCTACATTGAGGTCAAGTCCAGAGGTTTGTAAAGCACTTGAAGTTAAGGGAATTAAGGACCAGTTTCCCCTAGATGGGTGTTTGTAGCTCAGTCCCTGGGCAGTAGTGCTCCATTTGGATATAAGTCAGGGCCTGTTGGCATGGAGGCCTGTGACTTTTAGCACTGGGCTGGCCGAGTGAACCCCCAGGCCCAAGAACCATCTACATGTCCCCTTCCCTCTGATTTTCCTTTCCCACAATGCTATTCTTTCACCCCATTCCATTCCTGGAGATTTCCCGACTTCCATCCTGATGCCCATTGAATCAGACCAAGGGCCTGAATCCCCAGGGCCTTGGAACATGGCTCTGGAGACAGAACCTCAAGCTCTGAGACACTAAACAAGTCACTTAAGCCCTCTGGGGTCTCATCTTCCTTCTTTATAGAGTGTCGCTGTCCTCCATCTCACAAATTTGTGGCAAAAATTCAATGAGATGATGCGTTTAAGCATGTAGCACGGTGCCTGGTGCAGAGAAAACTCTCACTATATGAGACTGCCACTTGTTTCCCAGGTTTTTAGTCTTCCTTTGCAAATGGCAAAGATGGTCTAGCATTTTCTCCTTTTCTTTTTTCTCTGCTGCCTTGATCATGAAAGCTCATTTCCCAGGGCTCCTCCAGCTCAGGCTTGGACCAGGCGCTGGCCAGGCTTTGGGGAAACAGCACGGGGCCCAGGCCCCTGACTGCTAAGTTTCTCAGAGCTCAGAGAAGTGCCAGAGCCTCCTTGCACTCCGGTGACAGTCAGCCATCAGGGCAGCCTCGGGGTGAGGCCTTACTTATCCTACCATGTTCAAGGCAGTGAGCAAAACAAAGTGACCCCCTAAGACACTTGCATTCTAGGAAAGGAAAGAAGTGGGCCCAGCAGAGTAGCTCTGGTTTCAGGCCTGGGGATCTCCAGGGGTGATTTTGCGCAAAGGGTACCCAGCTGAATCCTGCAGGATAGAGGAATTTTCAAGAAGAAGGCAGTGGAGAAAACTGTGGACAGAGACTAGAGATAGGCAAGCTGGTTCCTTACTGCGCTGCAAGGGGGTCCGTGTGGATAGTAGAGAGGAGGGAGGTGGGCCGAGAACACCAGCAGGGACCCTGTGTGGAGGAGGACAGAGAATTCAGACCTTGTTCTGAAAGCCTGGGCAGGTCTTGAAAGGCTCTGATCATAATGACAGAACAACAGCGACATGCTGGGCCTCATCCTGAGTGCTTTTCCTGCTCCGTCCTGTGCCACTATCACACCAACTATTGGGGCGAGGAAGCTCAGTAAAGAGGGCTAGCTCTTATGTCCACAACCACAGCTTGGCCCTCCAGAAAGCCCATGAAAAGTGGATTGGGAGGGAACAGAGAGAAGGGAGCCAGGCCAGTTATGAGACATGCGGGGGAGCTTTGGTGCAGAAAACCCTGGTGCTGAGAATGTTTCCAGAATGCCATCTGGTGGCCAAAGGCAGAGAAAAGACAGAGGCAGGGTGTTGGGTGCCTGAAATCACGCATGTCCATAGCTCCAGGCCTGTGGGCAAAGAAGTGCATGATGGAGGTAGCTGTGCACACATGACAGTTGTTTCTCCTAGGAAACCTAATATGGCCCAATGTCCACAGAAGGAATTAGGGAATTTATGAGCTTATATACACACACATATAGACACTATACATACACGCACATGCATATATTCATACATATACTGTTACATACATACTGTGTGTGGTGTGTGTGGTTTGTGGTGTGTGTGTGTGTGTGTGTGTGTTAATTTCACTGGGACCATGGATACAAAAGGTGGACTCGGGTCATGAGAGTTTGAAAGTGGATTTCAGAGGTGGTTTTGATTGTTTGTGTTTGTGTTAGTCACCTTGGATGTATGAAACTGAGACAACCCTTTAAGAATCCAAAGCCAGAAAACAAGGCACCTGACTTTTGAGAGGTGATTACCTTTGGGAATTAGGTCTCCATCTAGCAATTTTCTCTCCCTTCTGGCTGTAGGGTCAGTTGCTCTTCAGCAGCCACATGTCTAGGGGTGATTGAAGCTGTCACTAGGTTTTTTTCTGGAGAGCTTTCATCCCCCAAGTTTTGAAAATAGTATTCAAGTAACAGAGGTAGTCTGAAATAGGTTTGAAATAGCTGAGGACTGTCTCTCTCAAATCCAAAATATTTCTTAGAAAAGCGAAGCTTTGTGGCAAGGTGTGGAGAAAAAGAACCCTCTTATACTGCTGGTGGGAATGCAAACTGGTCCAAACACTATGGCATACTGTGTCTAGGTTCCTCAAATTACTATATGACCCAGCAATTCCACTCCTAGAAATCTACCCAAAGACACAAAAACATTAATTCGAAAGGAAACCTGCACTCCTGTGTTTATTGCAGCAGTATTTACAACCTAAAAGCCCCAAAACAGATGACTAAATCAAGAAGATGTGGTATATATACACAATGGAATACTACCCAGTGATCAAAAAGATAAAGATAAACTCATGCCATTCACAGTGACATATATGGAGCTAGAAGGGATTATGCTCAATGAAATAAGTCAGAAGGAAAAAAAATGGATGGTTTCATTTATAGGAGAAATTTCGGGAAACCGAACAAAGGGTCAAAAAAAAAAAAAGGCAAAACTTGCAGGCAAACTATAGATCTGAAGCATACAGCAGGGGAGCAGCAGGGAGAAGTGTTATAACAGGGGTGGAAAGAGCACTGTGGTAAGGGTTCATGGGTGATGTGGTAGTGGGAAAAAAATTTAATAAAAAAAAGGCAGCTTTGAGGGTGGTACTGGGATGCCTCATTTACTATCAACTTTGGAGTCATTCCCACTTGGTCCTTGGTGGAGATGAAGTGGGAGAGTAAGGGTCAGAGGATCTTTTCAAAATGCCCGGAGTCCTGAGGAACCTGAGGGGTCAGACCAGCAAAGTGGGACTCTGACATTTGCGGGGACACACAGGCCAGTGGGATGAAGGCTGTGATCACGGCCACACAGTGAGTATTCAACTGGGTTTGCTGCCCACACCCAGGGAGCCTCGTGAATGTCCCACTGCCACCACCAAGGCAGCTTTGATGATGCTGGGAAGCTTCCACCCCTCAAGACCATTCAGGAAGGACCACCTCAGTTCACCTCTTTTTTAAAGGAAGATCTTGAAGTTAGAGCCAACTTGGCCAGGCATCTCGACGGGGGACGCGGGTGGATATCCTGGGTTACCTGCTCATGGCACAGCCTTTTGTGGTCTTTGTTGGGACAGATGACAGATGTCAACATCTGTCTCTCTGGGCCCAGTGCAGAAGGAATGCACATTGCAGGGAGAAAGTCCCAAACAGAAATATTCAAGACATGAAAAGACTTGGTTAAGAGTGATAGTTCTCAAAAAGGGATAGGTGTCAGAATCATTTGAGAAGCTTTTCAAAATACCAGAGATGGGGCAAGAACATTCGTGCTTTTCCCTCCCCCCAACAGGCCAAAGAACAGTTTGTCATCGCCAGTCCCATTCTCCCCAACTCCCCACTTCAAATATCTTTCAGATGATTGGGACAGGAGTGGGAAAGTTGATCTGGCCCTTTTGCTGGACAGAAAGCCTTGGTTGACCTACACAATAAAAGGGAAAATAGCTAGTTGAGAGGAGGGAAATTGCTGATGATTAAAGAAATTGCTGGAGATTGAAGAAGGGAGTAGCTAGGGAACAGCAGGGCCATATAGGAAGTAGGTTGAAGATAAGACTTCCAAATGAGTTGTAAACTATGCATGGTTTTCAAGAAAAATGCAAGAAAATATTTATAATTTATTTTGTTCTCTAGTAACTACAACATGACTCCCAAACTAGGCCACATACTTTTTTTTTA